AACAACAACATGGTAAAATAAGAAATATAGCAAACAACAACATGGTAGAATAGGTCAGGGGACATAACCACACATTAAACTGGCAGGTGTGCAAATAGCTCCCCTTTTTAAAACAGTCCTGATTGACAGTTTTTGGTGCTGTATTCTTATTATAAACATTAAACAAATCCACATGACCACACAGGAAAAACCTATAGTAAAAATGATTATTAAAATATGTACACGGTGCAACACACTTCACAAGTAGTGTACATCAGAAACAGAAAAAAAAAATCTCACTTTGAAGTAAAGTGTGACACTTTATTGTATAATTGCATAAACAAATGATCACAATAATTAATGAGGTTTTTGACATTCATAAAGCAGTGAACTGTAATCCAGTGATAGACAGTCAGACCAACCGATCACCTCTGATTTGTTCATAAAAGATTCATTTCATGAGGATGTTTACTCTCAAGAGATGAGCTGACAAGCACAGGTTTATTTTTCTTTCTGAAAATGGAATGAATCAATGCTCAACATACTCTTTTATGTGCATTTAAGTCCTTGCATTGTGAAATATATAGAGTATTGAACAGTTCATGTCCAAAAAATTCCAAAATACAATAAACTTGGAAAAATTATATGTATATATTACGTATGAGTCTTAAAATGGTCTTTATGGGCAACAAGATAAGGTAGACAGAAATAACTCAGCTTGTGAATTTAAACATCCATCCATCCATCCATCCATTTTCTTTACCTGCTTATTCCATTTTGGGTCACGGGGGTCGCTGGTGCCCATGTCCAGCAATCACTGTGCGAGGGGCGGGGTACACCCTGGATGGGTCGCAAGTCCATCACAGGGCCACATAGAGACAAACGAGACAAACAACCTTTCACTTTCTCACTCACACCTAGGGACAATTTAGAGTCACCAATCAGCCTAACATGCACGTTTTTGGTCTGTGGGAGGAAACTGGAGTACCCGGAGAAAACCCACGCATGCACAGAGAGAACATGCAAACTCCACCCAGAAGGGCCCCTGGACCGGGGTTTGAACCAGGGACCTGCTCACTGAGAGGCAGCAGCTCTACCAGTTGTGCCACCGTGCTGCCCGTGAAGTTAAACACTTTGTTCCAAAAGAAGTGTGAGAGGAGACAGTTCTAAGTGGCTCAATCCATTTCACCTGAGATTGTCAGATAATGTCTTTTTAAATAAAGTGTGTCAGAAAGACACAACGTCTCATCATAGCTTGAAGGCTTCATCAGTGAGACTTCAGAACACACACCTACTGGACCAAACATGATTACTGAGGACCATGGACAATTCTGTTGTATCCTACATCTCACAGATGATAGACGGACGGACGGACGGACGGACGGACGGACGGACAGATAGACAGACAGATAGACAGACAGACAGATAGATAGATAGATAGATAGATAGATAGATAGATAGATAGATAGA